AATGATAGGCTGTGGGGCAAGTTTAGAGTAAGGATGTTAGGGGCTATGGCTGGACAGAATAAAGTATATTAGAATATCAAGGATGGGTAAAGTAAGGCTGGTTTCTCCTAGACCAGTGTTTCTCAACCTTTATTTTTTTTTTTTTAAAAAAAGTACCCCCCCTTCTTTTTTTAAGTACCTACAGTTTTCAGACACACATTTTTTTTTCTACTGTTGCAACACATTTGTTTAAACAACTTAATCAAAGCAGGGCGGGTGATGAAATTTTTGGGTGTAAAAAGTACAAAAATAATAAAACCCTGTAAAACTTAAAACAAAAATTCAGGTTTCTCCCAATTCCAGTTGTGTTGACGTACCCCCCAGACTTCTCTCGAGTACCCCTGAGGATACTCGTATCACTGGTTGAGAAACACTGTCCAAGACACCCCTTCACTGGAACAAAAGGATGAACAAAAAGTCATGGATTTAAGTTGGCTGGGGAGAGAATCAGACCCTCAGTTAAACCCATCAAGATGTAATTAACAAACCTGAGAAACTGCCCAGTCATATGTCACCTTCATTGTCCCATATGAATTGGTTGTCTGCACTTAGTATGTTTTGTCTGAAGTACAGCATGGGGCCGGGGAATGAGGATGGATGAGGTATTTCTCTTCCTCCCATTTTATTGTCCTGTCCTGAATGTGTCTGTAGAACTACGTTCTCATTGCTGACCTTTGTCCCACTCTAAACTTTTTACATATGAATATTCCACTTTGTCTAAATCAGACAGCAAAAGCTTTGTGGGCCAGGACTCTTAACTTCTGCAAACTGCCATAGGTAACCATGGTGCTGTATTAATACATGTTGGGAAATTTTTCAGAACAGTAGAATGATGGAACAAGGGGCCAAGGAAGATTTGGATACAGATGGGCATCCAAGGTAGCCTTGACTATAGGGGATGCTTTTGAGTTAATGAGATGCTTACTGAGGCAAAATATTCTGACTGCATCTTCAGGTGGTTCACTTAATTGTCTTTTCTGGATGTGTTTTGCCTCTTCCTAGAACCTTGTCAGTCTGTGCTAGAGTAGAATGATGGAACAAGGGGCCAAGGAAGATTTGGATACAGATGGGCATCCAAGGTAGCCTTGACTATAGGGGATGCTTTTGAGTTAATGAGATGCTTACTGAGGCAAAATATTCTGACTGCATCTTCAGGTGGTTCACTTAATTGTCTTTTCTGGATGTGTTTTGCCTCTTCCTAGAACCTTGTCAGTCTGTGCTAGAGAGTATT